TTGGATTATGAATTCAAGGGTAATGATTTGTGTTTGGAAGGACCCCATGATGATTAGGAATAATTTAGGACAACTAGACTTAAGAAAAATTTCGAAATTTAATTCTGAAAACAGAACAGATTCTGTTCACAGAGGGAACATAGCTGCAACGCAGACTTGCTTCAGGCAAGCTGCCCGACTTTTCTCCTTCATGTTGCCAACTCTAAACCCTCTTAACTTCAAAGGTTCTTTTCCCAAACACTTGGGGTCATAAATCCCTCAACATACAGTGGATTCCACTCAAAAACACAACCAAAATTCTGTCCCCAAATCAGCAAGAACTTCAACAACACAACCAACAACTTCAACAACCAAAATAGATCTTTTCTTGGAATTTTAAAACGAGTTGGTGTGTGGGGGGTATGAACCAACCAACACTAAGGATCATCAATCTCTCAACATACAATAGAATCACAACTCAAATACACAGCCCAATCATGTCCCACAACCAACAATAACTTCAACAACACGATTAACAACATCAACAACAACTAACAACTTCAACAACAAATCCAATCTTTTCTCAAATCATAAAATGAGCTTGGTGTGTGGGGGAAAGGATCAAACCACACAAAGAACTCACATACCTTGATAGGGATCACCCCCGACGAAAATCCACAATGATCTTGACAAATCTTGTTGATCTCCTCTTTCTTCTTTTGAACTTAGCCAAATTTCCAGATTTTTGAACTTAGCCAAATTTCCAGATTTTTGAACTTAGCCAAATTTCCAGATTTTTGAACTTAGCCAAATTTCCAGATTTTTGAACTTAGCCAAATTTCCAGATTTTTGAACTTAGCCAAATTTCCAGATTTTTGAACTTAGCCAAATTTCCAGATTTTTGAACTTAGCCAAATTTCCAGATTTTTGAACTTAGCCAAATTTCCAGATTTTTGAACTTAGCCAAATTTCCAGATTTTTGAACTTAGCCAAATTTCCAGATTTTTGAACTTAGCCAAATTTCCAGATTTTTGAACTTAGCCAAATTTCCAGATTTTTGAACTTAGCCAAATTTCCAGATTTTTGAACTTAGCCAAATTTCCAGATTTTTGAACTTAGCCAAATTTCCAGATTTTTGAACTTAGCCAAATTTCCAGATTCTGGACTGCCAAATTTCCAGATTTTAAATTTTTCCAAAAATGACTATTTCCAAATTCAAGTTTCTTCATATTCATTTTAAATTGTCGGATGTTACAACGATCAATTGCTTTGTCTTTCTTACTAACAGATGTACTTATCACAGTAACTTTGGTTCCAAATGCCATAGCAAATTTCACAGCCATATGTCCCAAACCACCAAGACCAACAACATCAATGTGCATTCCAGGTTTATCTAGTCCGTAATATCTCAAAGGACTATAAGTTGTGATCCTTGCACATAACAGGGGAGCTGCTTCAATTGGTAAATTTTCGGGCCAATGGACCACGTAGTGCTCATTCGTTAATATTATATCCGAGTATCCACCATACGTGGTGGTTCCATCGGTGTCAACACCATTGTACGTCAATATCATATCGGAACAGTAATTTTTGAGATCATTGTTACAATTTTCACATTTTCTACATGATCCTACTAAACATCCAACTCCAACTTTGTCTCCAATTTTGAATTTCTCAACTTTGCTACCAACTTCAGTTACTACACCAACAACTTCATGCCTGTAACGTGCAACAACATATTCAGTATAATCTCACAAATCCAGTCAGAGGAGGATAAAATGTAAGCAGAACTTATCACTACTTAGCAAACCTAAGCTAATTAATCCGATTTAGCTATGGATTTTAGTTGTTTAGTGACATATTTCATCATCGCAAAGTCTTCTAGTAAACTTCTTGATGATCAAATTTACAATTTTATAGTCCAAACAATTAGAAAAAAGGAAAAATTACCCAAACTAACTACATATGTTGCAATTATTATATTATTCAAATCCTGGTTGCGCCTCTGTAATAAGATACATGTATTGCAATTATAAGAATACTCTTTTTGAAACTTGATAAATAATAAGTCTGCTAATCTACCATTTTCCACTTAAATTAAACTATATATAATGGCTTTTGTCTACGACAGGGTTATAATAAAAGAACATAATAAAAAGATGGATCAAAATGAAACTTACCCTGGTACCAATGGATATATACTATTGCTCCATTCATTCTTGAGTTGATGAAGATCAGAATGACAAATTCCACAATACATAACTTTGAATTGCACATCTTTTTCACCAGTCACCCTTCACCATTCAACAAGAAAAGTTACACATATATATGTTCGGCCAATTAGTTTATCAATATGTTTGAAATTAATATACACAATATATACACTATCGGTGTAGACATGTTGTGTAGATCTAATTCATATAAAATATACACTATCTATACTGTCAGTTTATATACCGTAAATTCGAAAAAATTGTACCTTCTTGAGAAGTTGAAAGGAGAAAGTACCCCAGAAGTATCTCTAGCTGCCCATCCAAATGCCTCAACATTTTCATGTGATTTTTCCATTTTCTTGATTTTTGTTTATTTTTGGAGTTATTATTTTTATTAGAACAATTAATTTGAGTAAAGCTATAGTCCAATGTATTGATTTTCATTTGAATATATAGGCATTTGAGTTGATGGCAAATGACGTAGTCGATGAGGTATAAAACAAATGTTATCGTCATGGCTTCTCTGTACAATTTTCCTTTTTATGAATTAATATAAAATAATATTATATCTTATATTATACTATGATATTTCTAGGAAAATGGTTCAGTAGTACGTGACCAAGGTCTAGCCGCTAAATTTAATTTTAAAAAAATTAATCTTTATATTATTTTAAACTATGTGTAGTAGTGACATTCTTAGTAGAAATTGGTTTCAATGAAATGTTTTAATATGATTGTATGGAATCATAAAAGATTTTGAAAAAATAGAGAAAAAAACTCGACTTTATTGATTTAGTTTGATTTATGAATATATAAAACAAATGCAATTGGTTTGATTTGGTAAATGATAAATCCATATCAATTGGTCTATTGTATATCCCTCAACAGAATCCAGTAATTTTGATTGTTAATCAGACCATATATTTATGTTTGGAAATTAACTTTATATACATATCATATTTGATTTTTCGTGTGTATTCGTTTATGGATCAAGCTCATTTGTGACACTTGATTTTTTTTTTCTGAAAAAACTATATGAGGACCTCGGCAATGAGTTGGAAAACTATTGCGTATAGTGCCGCTGTTTTTTACACACATATTTTCGCATTTACGAGCCAACTTTTAGGAATCACACGACTTTCTTAGTTTTTCGTGTGTATTAATCCATGGACCTGGCGCCTTTAGGGCACTTGCAATTTTTTTCTAAAAAACTATATGAAGACCTCCGTAATGAATTGGAGAAACATTACGTATAGTCTCGCCATTTATTTCACACATATTTTTGTATTTATGAGCCAAATTTTAGGAATTAGCAAACTTTCTTGGTTTTTCGAGTGTATTAGCTATGGATCTGGCGCCTTTGGGGAACCCGAAATTTTTTTCTAAAAAAATATATGAGGACCTCCGTAATGAGTTGGGAAAACATTATGTATAGTCTCGTCGTTTTTTCACGCATATTTTCAGATTTAGTAGCCAATTTTTAGGAATTACCCAATTTTCTTGATTTTTCGTGTCTATTAACCCATGGATCTAGCGCCTTTTGGGCACCCATAAATTTTTTTTGAAACAATTTATGATGACCTTCGTAATGAGTTTGGGAAGCACTGCGTATAGTTCCGCCAAATTTTTCAAGCATATTTTTGCATTTACGAGCCAACTTTTAGAAATTACCCGACTTTCTTGGTTTTTCCTATGTATTAGCCGATGAATTTGGCGCCTTTGGGCATCCCAAATTTTTTTTTGTCAAAATTATATGAGGACCTCCATAAAGAATCGGGGAAGCATTACGTATAGTCCCGTCGTTTTTTTCACGCACATTTCTTGATTTTCGTAAGTATTAGCTCATGGATATGGTGTCTTTGGTATCCCGAAATATCACAGGGAATGCTATAATTTAATAAGTGAAAAACACAATAATTTGGAAAAGATTTTGTAGTTAAGGGAGCATCTCGAAAATTGATAATTGGGTCACTTTAATTTCGTTCCACAATAATTAATTAGGATATATGGTTGGTGATTACCTTTCCAGTAAAGCCATCAGAAAAGATGGTGAACAATAATTTAAAAATAATAATAATAACTTGGGTGTGTTTGGTGCGAAAGAAAAATATTTTCTAATTTTTCTACGTTTGATTGGTAGAATATTTTTGAAAAACACTTTTTGCAAAATCGTTAATAATTAGGAGAATAAATTCTTTACACGATGTGAAAAAAAAAAAAACAAGTTTCATAAATAACATTTTAGGTAGATTATATTCTTCCCACCCCACCCAACTCAACCCCCACATCACCCTCGATTCTACTATTTTGTTTGCTTTTGAATATTCACAAATTTCCAAAAAGAAATAGAATCTAATATTTTGATCAAATTGAATTTCAATCAAAATACTAAAAAGAAAGTTGAAGTTTAGGGGGCCAGGGTTTAGTAAAATAATCGGACATCATCCATTAAATTAAAAAAAAATTAAATACAAAGCTTATCTTCAAACTTACCTTATTCTGATCGTTTGGAGGACCATCGTGGAGTCACTACGTGTAGGGGAGAATAATAAATACAACATTGACCCTATCACTTGAGAACAATATCTCAATTCATTATAATTGGGAATAAAAGCTGTCAGTGCATCTTTTTTCTCAAACATAACTTAGTATGTGTCATTTATTTGTTTAGATTAATGAAGAAGGAAATAATATGGGTCCTCTATTAGGTCAATTCAGAAAATAAAAAGGCAAAAAAAAAGGGTAAGAGACATGACTATATGAAATATCTAGTTGTATCATTTAAACAAAAAATATCCTCTTTAAATAGTTTTTTTTTCTTTTATTTTTTATTTTCAACATGAATATATTTTTTAAGTTGGTATTGTTACTCCATAGTTAAAAGGAATATAGTTTTAAAGTAGTTCAACTACGACATACTTCTTAGATAAAAAGGTCAAATACATAATTCGATTAATTGAATGTTAAATGTGCTTTAATAGATATCTCAAGGACTGAAATCAAAATATACCTATATATAGTTTATGGACCAAAAATGCTCTAATTCCTACTTTATACAAGAGTATAAGTTTACAACAAGAAGGGTTGTGGTAGAGTACTAATAAGTACTCCTCTATTTTTAATCAAACGTCTCGGATTCAAGTCTCCGGTTTGATTACAAAGTAGCCTTTGTTAGAAAGAATGTTGGATTTTCCGACGGGAACGTGGATTTCAAACTTGTCTCGTCTCCTTACTCGAGAAATCTATGATAGCTTCGTAAACTAATAACTTATAATAGACGAGCCCAATATCTTTATGTTCCAAACTTGTTTTTGGTACAAGGGGAGGGGCGAAGAATTCTAGTTATAGTTCTTCTTCTGCCTAATCCTTAGTACCGCTTTGAGATTTGATCTTTAGAACCATGTGCCTAAGAGGGCGAGGACCTTTATAGCCATAATTCTTCCCCCGGCTCTACGTCAAAACCAAGTCTTTTTTATTGCCTCACTGACCTTTTCTAAAGCACTTTGGGTCGAAAGTTGGTTGTAAAGTAAATGTCACGCCCCGAGCCTACACCCTAGGCGGGACCGGCACTCGGAGACCATTGATGGCCCCAAGTGAACCCTTGGCCTGGCTTTCTTAACTCAGCGGAAACTTAACTCAATAGCATAACTCAATACAATGGAAGGTTAAAAACAACCCAACTGATAAAATCTGGCCAAAACGGCAACTCGAATCTCAAAATAGAATATTTACATATATACATAGATGAGAGACTCAATACTAACTGACTGACTGTCTATGAAGCCTCTATAATACTGAGATGGATGTTGGGACAGACCCCGCAACATCCTAATAAAACAAAACTAAGGGAACAAAATATCTGAGTCCTCCGGAAGGCAAAGAGGCTCCCACTGACTCTGGAGTGCTCAACTGGATCAACGGCGTGCAGGATGCTGATCCGGGGTACCTGTATCTGCATCATAA